TGGCAGCTGGTGGCACCAACACCAAATATCAAACTGTCTACTCATGGATTCGTCGTTCTCTTGATCAGCAGCCGAGTTCTACGCAGGCGCGCGGTCATCAGAGGATTCTGTCGGAGGAAGATGTAGATGACATCCTGGATTGGATCGCAAGGGACTCAACTCTTACGCTACGGGAAATGCGAGTACGAGTACGAACAGGAACGGACAAGGACATTCCGAAGTCAACAATCGCACGGCACCTGCATGGTCGATTGATAACTATGAAGAACATCTATCAGGTTCTCAAGGGAAATGAGCGAACCAAAGTTATACGCAGGGAATTCGTTCAGCAGTTTCTGCAAGTTGAGTGATGGCAACTTCTTCATTTAAGTTGACGAAGCAAACTTCAACGTGTACTGCAAACGTACTCGTGGTCGGGCGCCCAGAGGAGTGAGGGCTTGTTGCAAAGTTGCCAACTGAAGAGGCCTCAATTTGCATTTGATCGGTACACTCACAATGAAGGGGAAAGTGTCGATGACCACCCAAAGAGGCTCATTCACAGGTCCCCTATCTCTCGGATGGCTGCGAGGCTATTTAGACGGCCTGAAACCGAAGGTGGAGCTCCGGCAGTTTGACGTGGTATTTGATAATGCACCATGTCACACACGACTGGAAGAACTGTCGTCAGTAGATGGATACGAGGGAGTAACTTTACTGAGATTGAGCCCATACTCTCCGTTCCACAATCCGATCTAGAATGTTTGGCAGGTAGTGAAGGCCAGAGTGAAGAATGAGATGAGAGTGCATTACGAGGAACTTCTGGCCGGGGATCCCCAGAAACTCATGATGCCGATGGAATGGAGGTTACAGTTTCTTGAACGCATTGCCGGAGCAGCCACCGAGGATATCAGCGTTGTGGGATTTCGTAATGCTATTCGACATGTGCGTGTAGATTTTCCTAATTGTCTAGAAAAATGACGTTTTGATCATGTTGCTGGCCTTTTTACGTATCTGATTGTATAGCTCGTCACTGGCAGTGCGTATGGACGTGTGAGTATTCACAGTGTTCTCAAAATATGTATGCACATACGTAAGTTTATGTGTTCCTACCGGGGTTGAAGCGATATATGATGTCTAGCGTAAGGGAGTGGCACGGGACCGGCTTCTATTGAGCCATGCCCGAGTGATATGTTCAACTTACGATCCTTTTCATGCCGGTATTCGCTGCGCTGTACTCTTTCATGATCAGCATGCGATAATGTAGATACAGTTTCTTCGTTCGGAAAACTAGGATGTTTGGAAGGTGCATTGTAGGACCAAGTGCGCTTGCTGCGTGAAGCAACCGTCAGATACATCACAGTATGGGATATCAGCGTGGATATTTGAATAGTAGTGAATAGGAAATTACTACGCACTTTATGTCAGCCTTTTCCAAGAGTGAGAGGAACTGATAGATGCGCAAATGCGAGTTCGCAAACGCGTCCATTGCTAGACAAGATGTCGTCATTGAAGCTGAACGAATAATTCGCGTGTCTACTGGAAACCATCTCTGTGCGATGTTTGCCCACTGTATTTGAGTGCACTGGCGCGTTAATTCGTTATCCGATTAAAAGTTGGTCTGTCAAGTTCGTAACCCACATCAACCGGTTCGGAAGCTGTACTTTGATTTAAAAGCAACCATTCCTACAGTAAGCCCAATTTAATTTGCGTGCCAGAAAGGCGCGAATAGCTGTCCAGTACGACTTGGATACTGTTTTGATCGTTTGAGATGATCCCACGTTTGACCCAATAGCGTGCGTAAACAAATGGGTCTGTAGTTGGCGTGGATACATTGGCGTAGCAACTACTTTTGCTGTCCCTGGCGCAGGTACACTTACTGCCGCTCTCGCAGTTGTAAAGCCCACAGTTGAAATTGCCATCCAATATTTCGTTTCACATAACAACAATCACAAGTTTAATTTTAGAGTGCCGTCTTGAATGCAGCTATTTCAATTGTTTAAATACTCGTGTTCAAAATTTACAGGCACTTTTCGTGTACTACTTGAAGACACTGGTATCCGAGCTGAATAAGCGCTCATCGAACTCAATAGAACATCACTGGTCGAAAATTCGGCAGACTTTATTAGCAGCGGGTATGTCTTAATGTGGCAAATCAAATCGCCAACCTGCACATTGGGTCACTACGCAGTCTCATCATCATCATCATCATTACACGTTGGCTGGAGGTGGAAGGCACCTCAGCTATTGTGCCGCAATACAAAAGACAAGAAAAGGAAAACAAACAGTGGCACGCCCGCTGAGTCCCCAATAACGGATGGACATCGTTCCAGTGAGTTAACAGCTGGCTGCGGTAGAAGAGAGTCATATTATGCCTAACGAGTGAGATCGTGATTGGAGGGGGATGCTAAGCAGGAGGGGGATGGACAAAGGAACTCACAACACAAACGCTATTGGGGCCGGCTCCTAGCCATATCAACAAGTGAGTCCAACCAAACGTGTTCACCGTCCTTAGGACCTCAGCCAGGCAGTCGGGATGCACCAACCGACGCCAACTTCGAAGTGAGGGTTTTCATTTCTCTCGACCAAGTCATCACTTGGCCTCCCCTCCTCCTCTTCCAACCGCACCGACAACGCGCAAACAATGCACGTCGCGGGAGTCGGTGCGCTGGCATGCGCAACACATGGCCCAGCCATCGGAGCGAACGTGTTCCGGCTGATAGCGAGCACAAGAAGACTCAAAAAGATTTCAGGGCGAAACTTCTTGCTAATCTGAAAAGAGACCGCAAGCCTGGTGACCGAGTGGTCTGCACGCTTGGCTTGCAATCATAAGGTCACCGATTCGAATCAATTTTCCTGGCCTGCTTTGTCATCCTGGACGTCTTCTCACTAAGTGTCTGAAACCCCCGTCCGTCTAAAAATTGACTCTCCTGTTGACTAAGTGTTACACTGAGCCAATACCGTGGACAGGATGATCAAGTGTCACGATAACTGATCATCGCTTGAATCTTGGTGCCATTTGTGACAAATATCATTGCCTGTCGTGTAAGTGCGAAATACTGCTAGGCAGCCGGAGTATGTACGGCACATATATCTCTCAACACGAACTGGGGTGCGCAAGAATCCGTTACTTCAACTTTTATAGCGCTTATCGAAATAATTCTACGTTGATAAACATGGCACTGACAGAACATCAGATACAGACAAGCGGAATTGTAAAGTCATTCCTGCCATCTATCTGAGCTCAGGAAATGTATCTTGCGAATGCGCAAATTCCTCACAATTGGGGTTTTCAAAGTGCAGTCGTGCGAACATCGGGGCGCTATAAACTATCCACTCTGAAGGTATCTTTCACGCACAAGTATACGTAAGTAATAATACTGCCGTTCACATTCACTATGTGGCGCATTCCCTAGCTCGCACCCTTGGTCTTTGGGTTCACTGTGATTATGTTGCATTTACACGAGCACCGACAATTGTCTACACCGCACACAGGACACAGTGTCTCCATTAGCGATGTGTGCAGTTTTGTCATTATTTCGATTACAACATTTGACCGTAGTCTAGCGCTGCCAGCGGTGGACAAGTTGACTGAGTGTTAGTCTGGATTGGCTCAACGTGGGGGAATTAAAGTACAAAACTTCATCAACATCATTATTGCAGTCGCAACATTTGAACTCAGACTAGCACGGCCAGTCACATCGCTCACATACCGTTGAACTTTAGGACATTCCGGTTTCTAATATGCGGCACCTTCTGTGTGCGACGCCCATGTATGTCCCTCCACCCCGTCCGTTGACAAGTTCAATCATACAAATCGCGATGACCAAGGGTAGGTTGAACTAGGTAAACATAATTGGGTTGAAAATACGACAAGAAGTAAAGTGATCGATGTTGAACCAATCCAGACTAACACTCAATCAACTTGTCCACCGCTGGCCGGGCTAGACTACGGTCAAATGTTGCAACAGTGTCTTGTATGCGATGTAGACAATTGTCGGTGCTCGTGTAAATGCAATATATTCACAGTGAACCCAAAGACCAAGGGTGCGAGCTAGGGAATGCGCCACATAGTGAATGTGAACGGCAGTATTATTACTTACGTATACTTGTGCGTGAAAGATACCTTCAGAGTGGGTAGTTTATAGCGCCCCGATGTTCGCACGACTGCACTTTGAAAACCCCAATTGTGAGGAATTTGCGCATTCGCAAGATACATTTCCTGAGCTCAGATAGATGGCAGGAATGACTTTACAATTCCGCTTGTCTGTATCTGATGTTCTGTCAGTGCCATGTTTATCAACGTAGAATTATTTCGATAAGCGCTATAAAAGTTGAAGTAACGGATTCTTGCGCACCCCAGTTCGTGTTGAGAGATATATGTGCCGTACATACTCCGGCTGCCTAGCAGTATTTCGCACTTACACGACAGGCAATGACATTTGTCACAAATGGCGCCAAGATTCAAACGATGATCAGTTATCGTGACACTTGATCACTTGGTCAACGAAGTGCATGCCTCTAAGGTTCATTCACAAGTCTCACCCAGTCCAAAGGCAGTGCGTCCACCTCCCCAGACTGACGCACCGTACCTTGGCATCCGGCCAATGAGGATTGGCTCTGAGCGGCTGGCGGATCGCACAGGGTTTTGCAATATTTTAGACTTTCTTCGCACAATTTTGCGCATCCTTTGCAACATTTTAGACCTTTTATGCAACTTTGCAGGGAATGCCATAGTCGCTGCAATTGCAGTCAATTCCGTTTTTTTTCTTAGCTCATGGTTATCTAGCCGGAACTGAAGAATTCACTTTTGCTGTTTTTCAGAGCACCACCATGCTTCGTGGGATTTTTGAAGTTCTTCCAAATCTAAATTGAGCCTTTTTATATTGTTTCTGTTTGACACCATTTTTACTCTAAGCAACTTTTCTTTGTGATGTGTACAAATTGTCACCTTGTCCACTGCGAGCCTACCACTCGTTCATGGTAACATTGCATTTTCCTACTGTGTTTTCCTTCTAACCCAGTGGCATCCGCTGATAGTCCAGTCAAAGAATCCTCTGTTCTACCAGATTCAAAAGTCCACGAAACCTCTTCCGCGAGCAATTCACCGTCAGCATCTGCGATAACTCCATTCAGTCGAATTCTCCTCGGTCCCAAGCCAAATGTATCGGTTGGCTCTACCGATCAGACACCCTCGTCCCCCTTAGCTTCCTTCATTCTGGGCCAGAAAACCGCGTTTTTCCCACCACCTGGTTCGCCAACAGTCTCATCTGAAGCTGCCAAACTCCAAGACCCAATCACAGTATCATCTAACGGGTTCACAGTGCCCAGAAAGGCAGACATCTCTATATCAATTCTGTCTTCCGCGCCATCTGTCGAGCCAACCAGTAAGTGCGTGTGAAATGCACGCTCCATCCAATGTACTGTGTATGCATTGTTTCCTGCGCCCTATAATTTATAATACGCAGTTTAGTGTGTCGAATTTCTCTACCACTCACATTCACTGCACCCACTCGCACCCATGCGAATGGTTTCACACAGCGAAGTTCTCAATTTCAGATAATGTTCCCTGGCTCACTACTTTATATAAACATTTATTCACTTATTCTTTAGTGTCTTATGAGTCACGAATTTCTTAAGCATACTGAAGTACAAACATCTAAGCTGATTTTGTGTTTCGCAGAAAGCGTTTTTTAGTTGTAATCGATATTTTGCCATAGTACCCTCTTTTTCCTTAGTCACCATCCAGGAAACTCTTTCGTCCAAGGCATCAGTATCCAGTTTTGGATCAATATCGCTTGCTGTACCAACAACCGCCGATTCTGTCGGCATTACATTGCCATCCACTACGTCAGTTTTAGGTGCAACAACTTCAACCTCTCCGATGATCCTCTCCAACGCTTCCACAACCACCTCCGGTGCTTCACACGTTTCCATTTCCACCACCCCGGGTAAGAATAACGACACACAGTCCTTTCTCAGCAACCCGCTTTCATGCCAGAGCATTCTTTTTGTTGTACTGCTGCCTTAATTCACCTGTGAGACTGCAACCGTCTGACTGCTCAGTCACGCGACTAGCCAACCGAAGGATTACAAAACGTCAAAACTCGGTGGACAGAGTATATCTACAGAGTAGGTCAACTCAATTTATTGGTGAACGAAATATGCTAATTTTGTAAGCCATGGCCACCCACTCTTCTGCGTCTGGTTCTCAGCCAATGTGAGTGAATTCCGTCCCACAGTTTTACCATATTTGACAGATTACTTCTACTCCTTTGACGCGGGCTTGTATTTGCTGGCCGATCAATTCGCAACCGATTCCCAATTCTGGCGAAAGTGTCAAACGTCGTTTTACGCGAGTGATGATGACGTTTGATTGTAGCAGACAGCACACGTGTTCCGCGGTAAGACCGCGCAACCTCGTATCTGAACATTGGCTCCGCTTACTTTTCCATTACCTGTCCTTCGATTGACTGCTCTTACTAATTTTCCTCATTTTGGCTTGGTCGTAGCTTTCTACCCTGGGGTCCACTTGTAGCCATCACGGTTGCTTTCTTCTTCGACTTGGTCTACATGACAGGTGGTGTGGTGCCTGTTCGACCGGCTGTGTTCCGCTTTGGGTATCAGTTCCGTTTTCCAAACCAAATGTATCTAGTAGTATGTCCTACCGTGGTGCTGCTGGTTCTTGAGGTCTTTGGGTATTTCCATGCTGCTGTCGTAGATGATTGACGTGTCTGGTCCACTTGTCCTTTGCGACCAATATCTCATAAATAATCTCACCCATCTTGCCAATAACCGTTCCGCTAGACCATCTTCCCGGCGTTTGGAAGTTTCGTGCGTACACCAAATCGCTGATCTTGAACCTACGCAGCCTGTTATCCAGCTCCTCTCTCGTTTATCCGTTGCGTTTTCCAACATTTCTAGGGATTAGACTATCAAATGTTGTTCTAATTTTTCGTCCAAATAGAAAATCAGAAGGAGATTTACCCTCCGGTGTGTTTGGATTCGGAGTGTTTCGATATATCCTTAAAAACGGCTGAATTGCATCTGGTACACCCTCGTTCCTTCCGCTTTGTGAAGAGCGGGTTTAATAGTATCTACACACCGTTCGATTGTGGATGATACGGTGGCGAAAACTTGTGTGCCAGGGATATCGTCCCGTATCGTATCCGTGATTTGTTGAAAATTGGCGGAAGCGGTTTTCACTCCGAATGAACAACCAATTGTACTGGAAAAGTCCAAGATGCATGTTGACCGTCAGGTTTTCCTGCATTTTCACGTTTTACATAACTATAAAATTATGTACCAATCCATGTTATTTTCAGATATTACCGGGACTTACTCAAGCAGACATAACTTTGCAAATGAACCTAATGCATTTAGCTATAGATGCAGCTGTAATATACTGGTTCACCAAATGAGGGATACCACCCTTTGTAAAACATGTCTGTAAAACGTACTTGAGATAATCTATGGTTATCAAAACAAAACTGGACACATCACATTGTGTGCCATTATTTTGAGCAAATGCTTCGTGACTAGACAGCAGGCAGACGCAGGGGCCTACCTTTTACAGTTCCTATGATTTTGCCAGAACCTACATAGTATGCTATTACCAAATCTATTGGTGCGAAAAATCGGCATAACATATCTTATTTTAGTATCTCCTCTGCAAGTCCTCCCATTCCACATTTCGAAAAGCTTCCAGTTGCAAAATTTTAATATTCTGCTTCAGCAGATGATGAATTTAGTGAGCGTGAAGCTGGATCCCAGTTACATGAATCCGACTTCGGTTTATAAAACTCCGCATATGTGACTAAACCTTCATCAACCCCACAATTGATTTACTTATTGCTTAATTTGGGGCTCTCCAATAGAGTGACTGACTTACCATCTTCCTTGCTATTTAAAAAAATCTTAACTGCACGGCAACAGTTTTCTTTCAAAACGTGTTGAGATCATCGTTGCCTATTTTTGAAAACAGTTTGTTTTTTTGCCATGGTACTCCAAATCCTTTATTACAATTGGGTTTTGCCTCTTATGATCCGCCACTAGGGGGAGATCAATTTTTGGACGGTTCAAAGCATAGTCTCAGATGTGTTTTCTTGCATACTGATAATGTAGATAAAGCATTTCCAGTGGGTTACTCGACGAATGTCTTCGAAAAATACAATGGTTTGAAAATGGTTATTGACCTCACAGTAAACCGTGGATCATTTGTGTTGTTCTGACGATGTGGAGCTTCTCATGTTCTCATGTTATTTCTGTATGTAGGACAGTCGAAATTATGAGGAACTTTGGACACATAAAGGAGTGCCCAAAACGCGAAACTCGGAAGGCTGGCATGGCAAACATGATGAATAGTCCATTTGTCAACAGATAGATCCTCTTTCGTCCACTACGTTTGAAATTTGGCCTTACGAAACTGTTAGTGGCAGCTTTGAATACTGATGGCGTGTTTTCGGTACATAATGTGCTTTTCCGCCGTTGTCTTTATTGATGACCAAAGCTGCTGTTTTCAACGGCTCTCAAATTCGTGCCCAGATGTTTGATGGACAGTTCGCCACATGGATAAGAGCCTAAGGAGACAAACGCTTGGGAGCCATTTGTGGCAGCTATGCAAATAGGTCGTGGGAACAAAAAGCCAGATAATTATGAGGGAGAGGTTAGCAGCGTGTTGTTGGTATTTCGCGACCTTTAGTGCAACATGGACATGAAGATGCATTTTTTGTATAGTCAGTAATAAGTACATAATGGGTATATTCCTCGAAGGTGCGAAGCACAGTCCAACTGAGTGGTCTAGTCAATTTTGTTCAACAAGATGGCATAAAACAGTTAATTGTTCACGTTTTACACGATAGCTCTTAAATGGGATTTTGAAATTATTGACAGTTTTACCGTATAGAGAGATTAAGAAATTGGGAATAATAACAAATGCAGATTTAACACAAAGTACAAGTAAAGTAATACGGCCATCCATGGAACCGTCCCCAAGAGATCTGCTTCAATACACGGGATATCCTAGATAGGTTTCACCCACCATTCCATGCTCCAACACTGTGGGCCATTGTGGCAAATAGCAAGTAGGCCATTACTCGTTTAACAAATTTTCAAGGGCTATTTTTATGCCTACAATAATGGCAGTGAAGACCCACCTCGTTCTTTCATGCGGATCATTCAACTACAGCACTTTTTTGTTAAATACCAGTGAATCAGTTCGGTATGCCTTGCATGGGTACAATTTTTCGCTTGGAAGCTGTAATCCAACACCTAAAGAGATCAACCCAGTCGTGGCCAACAATGAAATAAGGAAGAATTTAAGGTATAAGGAATTATAAATGTTACTAATTACAATCTTTCGCAGGTAGGCCAATCAAAATTTGATGGATAATCTTGGCGAATAACGACCATGATACAGAGATTTCGACCGAAAGACCTTATACTCTTCGGCCAGGGTTTCGTAGAGGATAAAAAGCAGTACACATAACCCAAATGCAGTTTTTAGCATTTCTGCAGTTTTTGGTGCTTTATCGCAAATCACGACTAATCGAAGCCATCAGATTTTGAAGAGTGTTTGTTCATTAATTTCAGACATTTGATCTTGTATAAATAGCCGTTATCGATCGCTCGGTGGACATGGCAAAGGAGTATGGAATCGGTCACTGAGTATAGAAAGCCAACATAACGCGGGTTACAAGTGATAATGGGAATAAAACGCAGAGATAGACAAACGATAGACGAATGACTCCCTCGTTCTTTTTATTTGATATATGACCCGGTCCTTCCTCAATTCATCATCGTTTAATTGCAAACTTAAGGTCTGTTCCACTTTCGCTGGTGCCAGGAAAACCTTACTCATTTTCTTGAATATGCTTAGTTTCTTGTACGCCATTTGCAGCAAGGTTGCCTATTCAATACAGGCTGAACCTTATATGATAAAAGTGTCGACCCGTGGCTTACTGGTAACGACCTACTCTCGCAATCTGGCGGCGCGGGTTCGAATCCGTGTAGCAGTGAGCGTCCTCGCGCTATACTCACCCCGCGTGCGACTACTGGTCGTCGCACGGAAGCGAACCGCCGTTATGTTGTGCAACTGATACATTATTTAATATAAGCTAAAAGTTCTGTTTGATTGTGCTCCTGAATGGAGGTACTACAGTTATACATTCTGTGTCACGTATTCCATATCTGGCTTCAAACCGGAATTGCACTATGCACTTTGTGCCACACAAGTTTGTGTAGGAAACCAAGGTTTAAATGTAATCTATACAACCACAAATGTTCAAATGCTAGTTCATTATTTCTATAAGGAATAAATTGTGGAGTAACCAAAGACGCGTTTGGTGAAGGCACCTTGAACATTTTCTACGGCCTGCATGTTACATTTACGTTGCTTGTTGAACGTAACGCAACACTAATCTAATTGGTCTTATGTTGATTTTTCGTGCCATGAGTCTTGTCCCTTGACTGAAACGTCTCATTACATACATTGCTTTAGTTAAGTTACAGTTCACATGTTCACTGAAATTTAGAAAGCTGGAATGTCCCAGTTTACATCGCGTTATGACAACAGATTTCTCCATTTCTCAGGACACTGGCCCGACTGTAAGCACAGGAGACAATTTTCAGTAATAGTACTGGGATATCATCAACGTTACCGCACTTGCTTACTGTTGTAGAGATACCATCGATACCAGGGTTATTGGAGGGCCGAAGCAAGTTAATCATGGTTTTAATGACTCCGATGTTGATGTCCACAACGGAAACAGTTTAAGAGATGACAGATCAGATGAGAGGTACCAGAATCGCAGTTTTGGCGCTGAAAGCTTCAAGAAAGTATGCACTAAAGACATCTGCTATAGTAGTAGGCGTGTCGACAACACTGTCAACTTTTATGATAATGTGAGGGCAGACAATTTATCGCTCTTTTGTTTTATTTAATATGATGTAGCGCACCAACTTTGTTTTTACTGTATAAGTTTCATTCCTCTTCTTGCTCAAAATGCCTAAGTCTCCTGGCATGATTTTCAACCATAAATCTTTGGAGACGCTACAGCACGCTTAAATCACGAGTTTTTCATACGTTTGAGCTTGTGTGCGCATTTTTTCTATCGTTCTCAGCCGTAGTGAAGCTAGCACAAGATCTTGCACAAGATTTCTTTTTACTGGGCACCAATAATTGCAATAATAGTGTATGTTGTGACAAATAGCAGTTACATCCTGGAAGAAAAAATGAAGAGGTCCCAATTTTGAAACCGGTGTATAGTAGGGAGTGAGTTTTGGTTTACATTTTGATGAAGGAAAGTATATTTTTCAATGCACCTATGGGGGCTCGACCTCTATGTTGCAGATGACTAACTTGTGGTCGGTCCCATCCTGGAAGGCCACTTAGTACATCAGTGACAATTCAAATAAGGCCTAAAGTAAAAATTAGCTCCTACACACTTGTACCTTTTGTAGGTAGATGGATTTTTTGATTACATTCCTCAGTCATAAGAAAAGTAACAAAGTTTGCATGATTCCTAGTTGGTACTAAACTAGGTCAGCGTATGTCAGGCAGGATGAAGTTCTCACAGATTACTTTGTTTTGCAGTATGTTCCAGAATGTTGGTAAAAACCTTAACTAGTTGAATCTCGTCATACTGGCTGGCACCAGGTGGGCGATATATACAACCTACGATAGATCAGTTGCCACCGGACGACAAGATTAGCCTGACGAAATTATGAGATGGACTGATAAGCGGAAGTGGGTACTCAGGAACAAGTAGGTTTTGTGAGTCGAAAATAACGCGACCTCCACCCCTACCTATCTTTCGATAACTTCTGACCAATTTATATCCGTCAGTTGAAATCATTTGGTTTGGTACATTTGTGTTTTACCAGGTTTTAGTAAGCAACAGAAGTTCAAGTTTATTAGCATGCACGAAAGTACGGAGTAAATAAATCCTATTTTACAGTGGACGTATATTAAGCAACACCATTCGGTAAGCATTCTGACTCGTGTTTGGGCCAAAATACTCATTAGAATTTGTATCTATATTGGTTACAGTGCTATCTGTGACAACTTCAGAGTGAGGTTTATAGCATCTGTTGATAGTAAAGGGGGAGGCGGAATGTGTAGAGCAACCCCAATATATGAGGTAGTTTGTGAGCGTTTAACATATGCGGAGAGGTGGTATTATGGGATCATTCAAATGAGATGGGGTAGGTATGAAGGGAGCAAGAAAGAGTACCATGGATTGTCGCAATATATGTTACGGGCCTAATGGCCAGCGAGTTTGCAAGCGTCTGTTACAAGTACTGATTAATTCTCCCTAAATCTTGGGGCCGTAAAAGTGACGAACGAGAGGAACCTCGTCATCAATATTTGATGACACTGGAAGAGCGTGGTCAGGAACGACCGGACTAACACATAATGACTGACTATTGTTAGAGCATCAAGCGTGACTGCCCTAAGAAAATATGACGACGCAACAGCTTATGTCCATCATAACCAGAGTGTTATGTTGTAGATGTAGGTTTACATCAATATATGTGGTTGGCGGCATCCCGTTACGGATTTACCTGTCACTGCACCCTCCATGGGGACAGCCACAGGAGGCCTACGCCTACAGAGGGACAATGGGTGGCTTGCGCTGCAACATCCACCTATATATCTGTTGTAAAGTCAAAGGAATAAGACTGGCAGGCATGCGGATAGGAGCCACGTTTCATCAACGGAAACAGCTCACACTCCTTCAGCATGCGCAGCAGCAACATTCCTGTTTATCTAAATGGGGAATCATGCATACCAGACGTACCAGTGGCGATAGCTGGGCCGCAGTTCGCTCCACACTGCATAAATGGAACCACCCTTTGAACCTAGCACAGCCACAAGAACCGTACACCCCGTCCCCCAGCTAAGATTAACAGTCTTCAGGAGCCGGTAACCAAAGTAGTGTGACAGAAATATCTGCACCTACTCAATCATCACATAAAACACATTCACACCGGGGACATCACTCATCAGACGACACCAGAAATACAAGGAACCCTGTATGTGTGCACACGTGCAGGCCCACTGAGGCGATGATGTTACACACTTACTACATCGACCGTATTTGTGGCCTGGGTTAGTAAATTGAATCGGAGGTAGCATACTCACCAAGCGCTTCGCTGAGGATGATTGCATACCTAGCTTACTCGGCTTCTCTTGGATGTTGACCGCACGTAGCCACACTGATTTCTTACGAAGCCAGTTTGGCTGAGAGCTTCGCGACCGCATGAGATATATTCTAGAGCTGCGCTACCATAAACCTACTAATTTCTGTCCAACCAGCTGGCTAGCTCCTCATGCGACTTAGTGGAACATTCTGTTCCTCTTCTTCTGATTTCAGCGGCCTCGTTGAGCACGACTGTTGGATTCATCGCCGTTGCCTCCCCAATCGTTTCCACGTGTGCCACACAGGCGTCCACTACCCAATCATCTGCTGGTCTCTTTGGTACGCCTTCTTCGGGCTTCACTTTTGGAGGTAATCTTTTTGGCCCACCGGTAACCAGCATCTTTTCTGTGAAAGCTACCACTAGTGGTACTGCCACCGGTGGCCTGTTCAGTTTCGCTCAGAACACACAACCTTCTAGCTGGCTGTTTGGGCAGAGCTCGTCTCCTAGTGTTTCCACCACGTTCAGTAAGTACTACCTTACCACTTGTTTACTTGGTCACCACTCACTTGTGTCTTGGATTTAGTACATGTAGTGTTCGTTTCGGCAATGTTTGCTCTGTGGGTCCTTTAAAGCCTCTGCGGTTTCCATTCAATCGTTCCACTTACAGTACACTCAGGCGCACCCACAGATTCTATCCGTAGGCAAAAAATATCTCATCGTCTTTTAGTCGACGATGTCTAAAGTCGTGAATGATCCAGCTAACATCTCAACGGTCCTCAGTTCAGGGCCTGCTATCTCCACCTGGTGAGATCAAACAAGGTCGAAACGTGCAAAGGAGTGCAGTATTTCCGACGGACAACACCCATTTTCCATACGCTTCATCTACGGTCCTATTGCTCGAATTGACTAAGGCTCGCTTCACTTCGCATCACGGTCCGCATTGAGATTGCGCGTCGCAATACTATCACACAACAAGTACTTCGAAATTGCCCTCCAATCATGTCTCATTTTCGTTGTCTCGTTGACGAAGCACCGCAGTTGTACCGCCACTCCTTGACAAACTTGAAGTCTCCGGTTGTAGTCCATCTGTCTTGAGAAAGCCTTTGCATGTCCTAAACTCGACAATTATATTCGTACATTTCTATTTACCGCCACTTTCAGCACCATACATATTCCACTCCTTGAATCTTCGAGTTGAGGCAAATTCATACCGAGAACAAGCATGGTTTGTTCAGGCTATACTGTTGTCTCGGAATTTGGTGCAACCATCTTGCAAGGCCTATTGAACAGGCTGGCAGCTTCAAAGTGATTCTGTTATCGGACCCCGTCTACGAGCTACCACCATATGGGCGGTCGGTCAGTCAACTTACATTGGTTCCTGTCTCATATTTAGTATGCAAGACACCGAAAGGGATTAGAAGTGTTTGTGTGGTCGTTCAGACTGAATCACCCGTGGAGCCCATCGAGATGGGGCCATGCTACGCTGCAATTTGTCCACTCTAGCTGTCGATGTGCGTAACCTGAGTACTGTGTAATTAAAATTTCCCACGATTAGAGTCTTCGAATTGTGGCATTTTGAAGCATCACTATCTGATGTTGATAGCACCGTTTACTGGCGTGTGTGTCCGACACTTCATGTCTAATTACAGAGTCTGTAACATTGACAAAATCTCTAACAAGAAGTGAAGCACTTATTCCGGTCATCTTACGCTCTCCATATCTCCATTTATTCCTACTTCGCCACATAGTTTGCCAATGCTTCGGTGGAGACCCCACGGTTACTGGCGATCATATAATATGATGACAAGAACTTGCACTGACTGGTTGACTGAAGATTGATCATATTCTTGGTTACCATCTCCACTCGCCTATTTCTAAGTATCTTCGTGGAGCACTTTTTATTGCTGTTAGCGTCCACCATTTGGTGTTTGGTTTCGACTATTTCATGTAACTCTTTCTCAGGTTAGGGTTTATCTTTTTCTTATCGGTCGATGGTGGAAAATATTAGGCGTTTGCTCCATACTCCAGAGACTACCATATCGAATCCGCGTAGGTACAGGCGACCTCAAGATATACCCAGCCCAAGTGCCACTGGTTGTGGTTACCAGGCACCCAATCCCCAGTGCAGTGTGCCGGCGAATTACTGATGACGTTTTTGCTCCTTAGACTGTATACGCACACTGGATCGATATATCACTTTCATTCGAAGCTTGGATTGTACGCTACTTCCTCGTCAGCCTGAACAATTTGTTCGTTTATCTTTCCTTCATTTATCAATCATATCATACTTAGATTAGACAGCCGAGTCCGATACGTTTTAGTTTCACTGTCTAAGATATTCCGTTATACTAGAGCTGTGTTTTGAAATACTTTCTTTCGCTTACTCTTGAGCATTTGCAGGCTAAATCCCAATTCGATCCTATGCACTTCATTAAACGACAACTGGGTTTCTCTAAAAATATACCAAACTATTTTTCCAATGATATGTTTACCTTACTAATCATTCGTTTTTTGTTATCTCGATCGCTTCTGCTTTACACACACAAGACCACGCATTCTGAATACACGTACTACTCTGGCTCAGTACTTCTTGTTCGGCCAACTACTACAGCAACCCTGGATTTTTAACCGCTCAATCCACATCTTTCATGTTCACTGATACACAGGTTTCGCGGTTCGGTGTTTACTTACCCTCCGCTCCGTGGCTCATGCATAAGATTCTGCTACAAGCGTGGTTTACTATACTATGACAGTGATTCGCTACTTTCTGCGATTAAAAACATGAAAGAACTTGAAAAGAAACGAACTTGTTCAACATTCTTCCTTCAGCTGATGCCACTCACAACGTTATTTCTTCCACTTAACCTTCAGTGTGACACGCTGCACATCTTTTAATTTTTTGTTCTAATACTGACAGGTAACGCATTTGTTTTCATATTCCTATAGCGGTTCCCAAGGTGACATCAACGTTAACACTTGGAACAACTTCTACTTCAGCCCCGCTTCCTTCTTTTTCCGGCCTATTTTCATCTGTGGCTGCACCTTCTATCTTCGCTCCTTCCGCGTCTGTTGCACCGACCACTTCGTTTTTCGGACCGAACATTTCGATAAGTTCACCGAAGACATCAGCTACTGTATCTTCGAGCTCCACAACCGCTACTAATCTGCTCTTTGGTGCCTCCAAAACCACAGCTAATTCACTGACTCCTTTTGCTTCTCCACTCTCTTCTTCTGTTAGTAAGTTCTTCGTTCTTGGTTTCATTAGTATTTGCTCTGTTCACCACTGCGTACGTTCGTTTTTTGACGTAAGAGTTACGTAAAAATGACTCAAAATTTTTCGCATCATGTCGGATGTGCTGTCTCATTGAACGCAACTTATTCCTTCACACCTTAAAAATACTGCCAACTTCATGTCTCTTATGTAGAGATACGTCAGCACGGCCGACTTCGCTCGGTCACTCTCGTGCATATAGACACTTTTGGTCATTATTTTTCTCTCATTTTATGCGGTGTTCCGTCTTTCCTGTGCAGCCACAACAACCGCAGAGGTCACGTCGCCTGGCAAACGCCTTTTCGATTTCGGTTCCCTGGCACAGACTGCACCATCCTCTTCGACTGTCGTGTTTGGCGGCTTGTTCGGGGTCCCAGTCACAGCTGCGGCAAACGCAACAGCTCCTCTGACTTTCGGATCCGCTGCTACTACATCCTCGTCCTCATCGGGTTTCACTTTCGGATTACCCAGTGAGCATCTTTGTTTCCCTTTAACGGTGTGATCATGCAACGCTACCTTCTGTTAACTTGGATCGCTCCTACGAATCTTCTAGGCTCATTTATTACTGTACTTAATACTGGCTAACCAGGAATCACCCATTGACGGATCGCTTTGCAGCCAAAACCAGCTAATGACTGCATTATATCCAGAGCCATCCAGATAGGGCGGATGGCAGTTCAGATACTCAATAATCTAATCAGTCGTCACCGAAATAGCACTGCACCTTCTGGTCTTTACTTTACTTATTGCCATCCTCGTCTTTTGATTCGAGGAGTTTGGTTGCACTGAGATCCGCCACGATAGTATCACGTCACGTCTAGTGTCAGCAGGAATCTAACATCTTCCTATCTTCTTGCTGTTGTGCTTTAAATTTTTTGTGGGGACGGATCTGTGAACCATTAAGCTTTCCTTAATTTAGATTTGCAACTCTGCATGCAGTATCGATGTATCGTAAGTTTAAGTGAGTGTTTGCCAACTTGAGCTCGAGACATTGGTGTGGCTCATCTGGGACATTGTCGTTACAAACCACTGTTCGTTTTCTTATTACATTTGATCTCACAAGTCGCTCGGCTGAACACCACTGTGTTTACGGTAATGTTTCTGTTTGTTTGACCATTATCCATTTACAACGACCGCAAGTTTTGCTTTCTTTCTATGCAATCTGTTGATCGAATTGTGAGCTAGCTATCCGTTGCTTTAGTACCTATGTTTCCTGCAACCACAGCCACATCTTCGAATACCGCTGCTGTTTGTACTGGATTCCCTGTTACTTCCACGACGACTGTTTCTACAGCCGTGCAGTTACCGTCCGCAACTCAAGCCTTTACCGGATTGTTTACTCAACCGGCTCACGGCGTTAGTTTTCAAGGCAATCTGTTTGGCTTTGCATCCAATAAAACGACGTTCGGCGTTTCCGTCCCTACAACGGCTGCCAACACGACGTTGCTGACTACAACCACAGCTGCTAGCACTGCTGGCGGCCTTTTTCAGTCCCCAACAACATATACGAGTCCGTTTGGACACAATACTTCTCTTTTCGGCCAGAAGAGTCCAGGTATACTCTTATTACCCACTTGGTCTTGATCTTTATTCGATGGATACGTCACGTTACGTTTAAATGCCCTCTAGCTTTGCAGGTCGCTAACAAGTGGAATGCGATTTTGTGAGCGAACATTATTAAAGTGCGTACTTGCTTGAACCTACCGTACATGACGATCACTTTCCCCTGGATTCGTCATACATGCGGACCCTCCTCTTACCAATGCACGTATCTCTCGCTCGTGTCACCGGAGCCAGTACTGCACTCGTTTCTGTCTATTTATGTGGGCTTTTTTCTACCTAGTGTCGTTACCAAATTATTTTCGTTTTTTCATGGGTGTCCACTGAATGCCACCAAGTAAAAATGTTTGTCGTCATTGTTTATTCGGAACTCGTTTGTTTTCCATTATGGTTCCCAGACTTGCTTCCCCTCCTTCGCACACGCGATTACGTTGTAGAATTGTGTACGCCGATCTGCTCTGAGCTCACGTACTTCCGGTTCTTATTTACTTGGGTCAAACTGATTAATCGCATGTCTACGTGTGTAGGCGTGCTTATGCATTGCTTTGGTATACCACTTACCAACGTGTTTGTGCTAATGGTTTCCTCCATGATTGCCTGTATTTTCCAACCTGAATCCACACCTTTTCAGCTCTGTGTCTCAGTGGACTGGTCCGTAATAGATAGCTTCTTTCGATATGATTTCCATCCTTCTTTTTAAGATGTCTGATTATCCTCCGTCGATAAAACATAGAGCCTCTAGCACAGGGTCAAAGCTCGCTTTCGCTCCATCACCCTTGAGCCATTGTGTACCTAGTTAACGATGTACGCAATGGCATTAATGCTGCCTTGCGACTTTTGCTCATCGGTACGGTTTCTCGATTTACCTTATCCAAAGTTCAGTCTGGTAAACTCACTTTGTATATTTCCCAATTGTTGGGAGCTGTGCCGTTGAAGAGTCAGATCAATCTGTTCCATAATTTTCTTGTCGTACATGCATAACGCAAGAAAAAAGTGGTTGGGTGTTCCACAATGTCCTGCAGGCATAAATACATACACTTTTATTCTTGACGATGCGAGACATGCCTGTATCGGCATGATCGGGTAAGTGCATGATTTGCTAGAACGCTGATCATAGGTGGATCAGAGAAATTGAATATCATACCACATACTGACGTTTGGATAGACTGCATAGACAATAAATTGTTGACTTAATCAAAACGATGTTGGCTGGCCTTTAACCGTTCTCCTTCACATGAGAGAGTATGATGGTCATATGGAATCTGTACTTTACTCTTTCGTTTGACTTGTGGTTACACCACAGTCAAAAGGTTCGATCACTTTCTGTACAATCAGGAACTTGTTGATGCTTTTGCGAAATTGGTGTTCAAAGGTGCAGGCACGTAATCTAGATGGTAGCTTGTTCCAGACTCTGGCGTATCAGTTTAGGGAAATGTTCGCAGACCTACTTTTCCTGGACTTACGTTCCGCCACTGAGTTTTGTTTGTTTCGTTTGCTGTAAACTTCTGATTACAGTAATGTCATACTGCAGTTGAAAACTTGTATATTTCTGTGCAACTGTTCGTGCTGTACTGTTGTACGGATGCGACACCTGGCCCATTCGTAAAGATGACTTGCGTAGGCTATCCCTCTTCGAGCACCGCTGTCTTCGGTCCATTGCCCGTGTGTGGTGGCAGCACCACGTAAGCAATTTGGGAGTTAGACAGCGTATCTTGGGACGTGGAAGCCACTCGCTCGAGGAGCTCATCTCACTGCACCAACTGCGGTGGTTATGACACGTATTGCGCATGCCTGTCCAGCGTTACCCCCGTCGTGCGTTGTTTGCACTTGCTGGACAGGGCTGGAAGAGACGGTCTGGTGGACAGCCTACAACATGGAGAAGCCGCATGAAAAAGTTGACGAAACAATTGGCCTCGGTCGGTTGTTGTCGACTACCTGGTTGGGGTCCGAGAGATGAGGATACTTGCTGGTTGAAGACCTCGGAAGTTATGGCTCAAGATCGATGTCAATGGCGGACGTGTGCATCGGTTTGTTGCGGTGTCTTTTCTTCCTCCCCCTAAAAAAAGAACAAACTGAAAAAATTCCAAAAACTGTGAGTGGTAAAATAGACGAAAAAGCATTTGTTGTTGCTCTTTTCTTATTATTCATATTGTTTTTCTATTCAGCCATGATTCCGATGGCACAATATCTGTACCACAGATTGTGTATAATATATATATATATATATATATATATATATATATATATTTGCAAGACGTTGAAGAATATGACTATAGTGTTCTTCTTGCGCCGTCACCAGAGCGCATCTGGCTTGAGCAAATCACATCGGAATATTCCAGATGTGAGGACGCACCTAGTAGGCGCTTTGTGAATGCTCTCTGTACGTGTTCTGATGCAATGCGGTCTCGGTTCTTTGAACTGCTATATAACATTGAACAGTATTCCAACTTGGGTCGAACAACATATGTAAGAATGAAGTAATGATTCATCTCGAGAAAAAGTCCTGAATACCAATCCAATTTTCTGTCTTTCTCTCGCAGTTGCAAAGCCTACTTGTTTACAAGAGTCATCTGCGCATGAATATTGCAATTTCAGGTCTCTTACCGTAGGACACAGATGAAGTAGTTCACCATCAAAAATTAAGCCGCTATGTGTCTAATCACACTTGTGAGATATTGCACATTTGTCGGTAAAGATATGTTCCACGTAGAGCACCAGGTTAGAAGCGCTTTTAGGTCATGTTTACAGCATGATTAGATGCATCCGGACGGAAGTCTTACACGATTTTAATTTCATCTACAAACAGATATGGTGTACCGAATTTTACTACTTCGAAGACATCGGTAACCTCTATTACGAACAGTAGCGGCTCAAGCACACTTCGTTGTATCACACCACTCGTGACAGGTGTAGGTCCAGATTTGTATTCTTGGATTTGTACCATCATCGCTCGATTTGTGCGACATTACCTGAACCAAGAAAACGGAGGTTCACCGATTCCGTAGAACATAATTTTTGCTACTAGTTTTCTATGGGGCACCCGATCAAAAGCCTTATGCGTGTCAAGTTAAATTAAAGTCGCCGACAATCCAAGATCATGCGAGGTAGTTATATGGTTTAAAAATTCTAGGTGGCACGGTTTGCAAGAAGAACAAAAAGAGAGGCATCAGCAGTACGTCGGTACTGCGTACCGACGCTTCGCTGCCACACAACCACCGCCATTTGCAACCACCAACAGCCACACGTGGTGTAAGGGTACTGCGAGGGTCACCTGGTCCCTGCGCAGGCTCGGGTCCGCGCCCTCAACTTGTGATCCTTAAGTCTACAGACCCGCAATGGATTCGGAATCATCCCCGCTTCACATAAAATGGAGTCGGTGAGGAATGCTTGGTTAAGAGTGGCGGCGCAAATATGGGGTTGCTTTAGAAGCGGCGTTACCAATTTGTTTCTGCTGTTATACCTGTTTCCATCTGCTTTAAACTGAGGGATGAAAGGCAGGAGTATTCTAGAAATAATTTCTGGTGATATCTGTCACCGTGGTACTTGGCATTTACGCTAAAATTGCATTTTCGCTTGGCAAACAATTTATGATAGGAAAAACAAAGTGATGTAAAGTTATAGATTCTAAATAACAATAAAAAGCCAGAACAGAACATTATAGGGAAGCACTAACATCAAATTTGACGTACGCCAGTAACAAGTGATTCTACTATCTTAAGTATTTGAAATTCGAAAGTTGAAAAAGACGTGTGCTTATATACTCTTAAAATAATTTGGTAATAGGTTTTTTAAGAAATATATTGTGGTTTTTAATCCTAAAATTTGAATGCATGGTTACACCCAAGCGAAATCGGAACAGCGGTACGGTAGTAGGAAATCTTTAGCAGCAAGCGCGAAGCGGTACACTGATCAGCGTATATGAGCAAGTAACGAGCGTCACGTGAATGCGAGAACGAGTACCAGTTCGAAGCGCATTAATGGCGGACGCTGATTGGTTGTCTCACAAACACGCACGCACACAGTTACGTGCGCTCCTACGCAACTGTCTTTCCGGCTGAATAGCATTGGATAGATTTGGCACCACCAGTGACCGTATCATTCCTCCCCCCTTTTGATTCGAGCTAACTGGCATGGATGCGCTCGACTGGTCGGCGTTGACGATTAGAACGACGTAACAAAGGTTCCGTTACTGATTGTGCGTCAGTCATCTGCATTTTGGTCGGTGATTGGAATGACGGATCTGTTTCATCACTTGTTTCTCGGTTCGACCGTTTTGGCCGCACATGGTCGAAATGGCGCCGCAGGATCTGGCCGTCCTCAGTTTCCGCTTCGACGATCTGTCCGTTAATTGTTTTTGTAAGGGCCAGCTCCCACCCAGAGTCTTTAGGTAAACGGACGTTAATTGGGTCTGAAACTGTCACAGTTCTGTCCCTGCTGCAATTATCATACTGTTCTTTTGCTCGTTGTTGCCTTTCAGTAACTCGTTACTCAATGGTCCCATGGGGTAAATCTAACCGTGCACTCAAGCGTCGACCGAACATTAACTCTGCCGGGCTTCTACAGGTTGCCTCGTTTGGCATGTTCCGGGAACGATCCAAACGCACACGCATGGCTGCAGCTGGTTTTGTTAGCAGTTTTCACTGTCTACCGCCGTCTCTGCCAATCCGTTGGAGGATGGATGATGAAGTGTAGTAGTTAGGTGTCTAACGCCGTTCGAGCGGAGAAAGGTAAAACTCGGCACTTTGAAACGCTGACACATTGTCAGACACCAGAGTTTCGGGGAGACCAAACGTCGCGAGCTTTGAGCGCAGTTTAGTTATGGTGCTACCTGAAATTGCTAAGGCCAGAATATGGGCTTCAGTCCACTTAGAATGGGCGTCAATGATCAATACAATCAGCTGACCTTCGAAAGGACCGAAAAAGTCTCCGTGGACGCGTCTCCAGTGTGTTTCTGTCCACTTCCAAGGCTGCAGTGGCGCATGAGGCGCGGCGTTTCGGCTTTCCTGACAGAATCTGCAACTTCCAACCTTCGCTTCAATGTCATCGTCTAATTCGGGCCACTGCACATAGAAACGAGCTTGTGACTTTCTTTTCGCAATTCCTGGGTGCGAATCATGTACTTCATCCAGAATACGTGACCGAAGTCCTTTGGGGACTAGAAGTCGTTCGCCCCATAAACATCCGCTCTGAAGGCTTAGCTCATAAATCCTATTACGGAATGGCATGAATTCTTTGGATGTATTATTTGGCCATTTGGCTTGAACATAGCGTTTCACCAGCGATACAACTGGATCTCTATCAGTCTCCTGACGTATGTCCGTTGATGTGACCGGTGACTCATTGACATGCTTAACCAAGTGTGCAAGCTCTTGTGGAGTAAACTCCTCCGAAAGTTTATTAAAGGAAGTCGACTAAGAACGTCAGCTGTGATATTTTTCCGGCCGCGAACGCACTGGATTTTATATTTATATGCAGGCAGAATGAGGGACCAACGAATCATTCTTGGTGAAGCCATTTGTTTAATCCCCTTCTCTTGTCCAAGGAGGGAAACAAATGGTTTATGATCCGGATATATCACGAAGGGTCGGCCAAATAAATATTGGTGAAATCGGGTAGTACCGCAGATCACAGTTTCTGCTTCTCGATCATGCTGCGAGTAATTTCGTTCTGCTGCTGTCAGTGTTCTTGTGGCATTGGCAATGGGTCGCTGGTAACCCCCCGGTAATTCGTGCAGTAAAACAGCTCCAAGACCGTATGGTGATGCATCACAAGAGAGAACAACTGGCTTTTGCGGTCGTAATGTACAAGAACACCTACTTGGGGTCGGTTCGACACATTGCGTCCTCTCGGGCCAATTTAATTACATATGATATATCGATGGTTAAATTGGCAAAAGAAGCTGCGAACTTAGATCCGGAATGTTTCCTTTTGATGTATCGAGGTGAGTTGTTAAAAAACAAGGCAGGATGAATGAATAGGCAATAAAGGAAAGCAAATTAGCAGTAACTAGTTTTGGTTAGGAGTGTCGGGTAAACTAAGTGGACTGAGACCTGTTACCGTTGATCAACCCGGTAGCCCAGTTGGGACAAATAAAAGATTGAACATAGAAAAACTGAGAGAAGATACATAGGCAAGGTCACAATGTTAATGTATGAGGTGTGAACTAAGCCGAGCAAAGCTTAGAATGCGGTAGATGTGATGCTCGAAATTTAAAGTTCTACTAGGCCTTTTTCATAAAAAGCATCTGTTGATGTAGATTAGATATGGATGGAATGTGCCAAACTGGACAGTATCTGGTTCTTCAGGACTAGTATGAGCTAAATCCACCAGGAAGATTAGGTTGATCCTAGATCTTCTCAAGCACAGTGATTTTAGCTTCGGCAGTTAACACCGTTGTTGGTTAGTCAAAGAACCTAAACCTGCGAACCATTTGGTAAAGGACCGTTGCGTTTTTTCCAGATTGATTTCGTCGCTCTTTTTTAACTTTGTGTATACCAATGGACAATATTATAGAATTCGAAGGGCATACGCCTTTTTGCCTAGCTAGCGTAGAATCCTCCAAGCATAACTTAATAAAAATACTTGATATGGTGAATATCTCTTTAGTAGTGGCATAGTGTACCTGTTCAGAGTAATTGAAAGAGCGTGAGTGGCGAACTCCGAGGTCACGAATGGTTGTACAGGAGGTAACTGTTTTGTCATCTAACGTTACTCCCTCATTCATACTGTTGCTTCGGAAGTGTAGAACTTCGAACTTGCTGACAGGAGCGTCATTTTCCACTCTCGGCATCACCGCTGAAGTGCGTAGAGCTCCAACTGTATAGTTTGAGCGCAGTCTTGATCAATTTTACTATCAAACGCAACACAGCTTCATCATCATCATCATCATCCGTGGAGAGAAAGGTATAGCCTGAAAGATCCGGAAAATGTCCTTAATGTAAATTAAACAGCAATTGGCCTAAATCGCTTCCTTATATGACACCGCTGGTTACTGGAATAGGTCTAGATACGCAGTTTCTCACTCTGACACACTGGGTGCGTGTGGACAAGAAAGATG